CATTAGCAGTTGTTAATAGATCTATGTATGCCTTGTCATTAGCAGTTGTTAATAGATCTATGTATGCCTTGTCATTAGCAGTTGTTAAGAGATCTATGTATGCCTTGTCATTAGCAGTTGTTAATAGCTCTATGTATGCCTGGTCATTAGCAGTTGTTAAGAGATCTATGTATGCCTTGTCATTAGCAGTTATTAAGAGATCTATGTATGCCTTGTCATTGGTAGTTGTTAAAAGATCTATGCATGACTTGTCATTGGCAGTTGTTAAGACATCTATGTATGCCTTGTCATTAGCAGTTGTTAAGAGATCTATGTATGCCTTGTCATTGGCAGTTAAGAGATCGATGTATACCTTGTCATTAGCAGTTGTTAAGAGATCTATGTATGCCTGGTTATTGGCAGTTGTTAAGAGATCTATGTATGCCTTGTCATTAGCAGTTGTTAAGAGATCTATGTATGCCTTGTCATTGGCAGTTGTTAAGAGATCTATGTATGCCTTGTCATTGGCAGTTGTTAAGAGATCTATGTATGCCTTGTCATTAGCAGTTGTTATTAGCCTTGTCATATTTTGAAACTTGTTAATACTACTATGTCTCTCTTGAAGGAATTCAGTAGGAAAAGACCACACATCTTTCAGTATGATAAAACACCAAGTGTTTTAGACAAGAACTACAATCTAAATTCAACTAAACCACCGTAAAACATTTGGGATTGCTGCTGTAGAACTAGAAAGACCAACTTTGAAATCTCAATTCCGCAGGTGTTCCTTTGAAAGAGGAATGGTAATCTATTTCACAGATGTATGAATGGTTGGTGGCAAGTAATGAGAACTGTGTTAGACTTGTTTTTTAACCTACAGATGTATAACATGGGTCACAAATGACTCATCCCTTCCATTATTGGCTTAGAGCTGATGATAAAATTTTTTTGTTAGACAATACTTTGTCAATTCTTCACTTGAAAATTTTCTTTGAATGTAACATGGTTATATAATCAAAACATGTAAAAACTTGAACACTGTAGAGAGAGAATTTGAAAAGTAAATGCATGAGATGCATATTATGAACTAGTATATGAACTGGTACATCCTTGGTACATCCAAGGAAGGGGGAGAAAACACAACTGGACATTAAAGACCCATTATTTATGCCCTGCAAAGACGTGGAATACAGAAACAGTATTAAGAATGCACTGAATTTATGCCAATATTAGACCCGTACAGGTTACTAATATATCTTTTCTTAACATAAACAACATTATTTCAGTGTTATTATTATTAGAACCCATATAACTCTTTTTCTTCCATTTAATGTGTGTTAGGTCTTATAAATTTTACTTCCTTTTTTTCTAGTATACACATGTACATTTAGTAGGATAATAGACTCTTTTGACTTCAAACAAACACATTTTCTTGGTGTATAACATACTCTTTTTCTTCCATTTAATGTGTGTTAGGTCTTATAAATTTTACTTCCTTTTTTTCTAGTATACACATGTACATTTAGTAGGATAATAGACTCTTTTGACTTCAAACAAACACATTTTCTTGGTGTATAACATACT